GATCGACGTCAGCATCCTGTCACATTCTTTGAAACGTCTGTTCAACCGAACGCGTGGAGTTCCAGTTTTAAATGACGTCGTATTGAAGTTGTTATTTTCTTTAACACTCTTTAAATGATTGTAAACGCCATGTTTTATGTAATAAATGATATTTTAAGTGTTTTAAGCTACGTGTGTGTGGGGGAGAGGGGGGGGAGGGGGGGAGGGGGCCGGGTGAGATTGCCTGGAGAAAAATTGGACAGACAACACAACTACATTGTCATTAAGGCATACGCATTCGTGTTTTCGGTACAGTTACAGCGGCGTCTCCCCACCCTCCCCGCACCTGAACCCCCCCCCCCCCCCCCCCCCCCCCCCCGTGTCAGTGTGCTGTTCACGTCGCACGGCGACAAGGCTACACGGTGCTCCACAATGAACGTCTAGTTCTATATATAATTTATAATTTAAATATTCCCTCGCATTATAACGCTGTGTGTCTTGTGGTTACACGTTTCTGGCATAGTGTGAACGCATGTATTAGCTTTTTAATAGTTTTTACTCTTTACATATACACACGTAAACACTGTTTTGTCATTTAATCACGGGCAGGTGTCATTTAGTCATCTGTGGTTGTCATTTAGTAATCGGTGGTTGTCAGTCATCTGTGGTTGTCGTTTAGTCATCAGGTTGTTATATTATTTTCATTGTCATTACACCGCAGCGCCACCTATTTTTCTACACGTGTACGCAGAAGCGTAGCGAGGGTGTTTGGCGCCCGAGGACAAGATCAATTTTAAAGCGCCCCCTTTTCTTTTTTTTTCAACTCTCAAACCCATTATTTTTACCAATAATATAATATCAAAGCACATTTTGGCGCCCCTAACTAGCTGGCGCCCGGGGACATCTGTCCCCCCCTGCCCCCCACCTCGCTACGCCTCTGCACGTACGCACTTATCCGGGATAATATGCTTATTATCTTCCAATACATTTGTCACCATGTTTCCGTCACCACACGCCAGAAATACCTGTGTGATTGTTTGTCGTTATGAGGTCCGTGCACGTTTCATCGGCGCCCTGTTGGCCTAAAGGCAAACTAGGTCACTGCCCATGTGTCATGTGCCTTTGCGTTTTCATTGTTGTTCTAAAAGTCTTATTTACCTGTATCTAACTCGTGCCGGGGTCCCAAGGTTTCTACCGCCTACACGCCCTTGGGGGTCTTAATCTGGTACTATTTTCACTTGCGCCTTCATGTTTGCTATTTAAATATGGCCACCCGAGTTGCCTACTTAGGGAGTAACATTAATATTCCTTGACTTTTATAACTTGCTGTATATCTATAATTGATTATTTTCTGTATATAGCGAGCCATACATGATGTGTGGGTTCATCTTAATCAGAACCTTTTGACATTTGAACAATGACGTTGATCCCATGACCACTTGGTGGGGGAATTGTCAGGCTCATTTGGTGGTTTCATAAGACCTATACGCACACAAGAAGGCCTATTTCCTTCTCACACACACGGTGCGCAGAGAAAATTGGGGATTCCCGTTCAAATTTAATGTCCAACAGAGCCTTTGTCTTGTAACACTGTCCTGCGGCTCGGAAGGCGATCAGCATCATATTACCAGAAACAGCCCACCAACCAAATGGCGGCGGCAAAGGGTGAACTCATTATCTGCTAAACTTACCGGACCAAACAGGAACTCAAGTAACGCACTTTACGAGAATCCCAATTAATGTTTCTTGGATTTTTTATTTTTATTTTGCGCGCCTATTTAACACAGCGTTACAGCCAAACATAAAAAAAAAACAAAAAAAACAAGAGTTATGATTTGTGATCATTGATTCACAACTGAAGTTCATGTGAATGTTCGTACAACCAACAATTGCAATATGTAAATAATTTTTGTAGCATTAAAAAAAAAAAAAATTCACTATTTTTGTGTAAAATATGTTCAATGATTTAATTGTTATATATTTATAACTTGTTAAAAATAAAGCTTCTTTCACATTATAACAATGAGAAAACTATTTTACTACATGTTAATGTGTGTCCTGACATCATCATTATACTCTTCAATTCATAATTATACACATCACACTATCATTTTGCACTTCACAGCATTATTATACTATTCGTATTATCATTATGCACGTCACGTTATCATATTCACTTCACTTCATCATTATACACGTTTCTTCATCATTATAAACTTCAAATCATCGTTATACACTTCAAGACATCATTATACACTTGATCGTATCATTATACACTCCACCTCATCATTATACACTTCACATCATCATTATACACTTCACATCATCATTATACACTTGACGTCATCATTATACACTTCACGTTATCATTATACACTTCACATCATCATTATACACTTCACATCATCATTATACACTTCACGTCATCATTATACAGTTCACATCATCATTATACACTTCACGTCATCATTATACACTTCACGTTATCATTATACACTTCACATCATCATTATACACTTCACATCATCATTATACACTTCACGTCATCATTATACACTTCACATCATCATTATACACTAGACATCATCATTAAACACTTGACCGTATCATTATATGCTTTAAATAATCATTATACGCTTCACGTCATCATTATACACTTCACGTTATCATTATACACTTGACATCATCATTATACACTTGACATCATCATTATACACTTCACATCATCATTATAAACTTCACATCATCATTATACCCTTCACATCATCACAATTCAAGGTAGACAACTTGTCTACACTTTAAGTTCAATTCTAAAGTGCGAAGACAGCGTTGTTCATCCACACATTGGTCTCCCTTTGAAATCACCCCCTCCCCCCCCCCACACACACACACTTTCCATTTGGGGTGGGGTGGGTGGGCCTTCATTAATCTCCTGCGACTACCTCTAGCAACATTCTGTCAGCTGTTGACAAGAATTAGTGACAAGCCAAACAGCTAATCCGACCTGCCACTGTTTGTGTCTGTCGGTGATGTTTTCCTTGTTGCCTGATACCCTGTGTCGGTGACGAGGCTAAAGATAAAAATAAATGCATGCACGCCGCGGTGCGCAAATCATAGTTTGAAAAACACATGAGTGTAAAGATCAAGATGAAGATTGTTAAGAGGAAGGGTTTCCATAAAAGGCTTGAAAAACAAAACAGATTTACCCATTTTTCCTGAAGTGACATCTGGTGCTGACAGAAGCTGCACAATTATTATTTTAAAAAAAAAATATTATTAATAAAAAGTGGGGGTGGGGGAACCCTTAAAGACCGGGTCTCATTTCTCTAACTTCCATGTTTCTATTTCCATACATTTACTAAAAATAAAACATGAAATTAAGATAAGCCAAGCAACTCCCAGCTCTTGAACCACTAACTCCTAGAATATGGAACCCTAGCTCCCAACACTTGAACCACTAACTCAAATTACCTGGACCACTAACTTCTAGTATTTGGAATACTAACTCCAATTACCTGGACCACTAGCTCCAAATACTTGGACCCCTAACTCCAATTACCTGGACCACTAACTCCAATTACCTGGACTACTAACTCCAATTACCTGGACCACTAACTCCAAATACTTGGACCACTAACTCTTATTACCTGGACAACTAACTCCTAGTATTTTGAACACTATCTCCAAATACTTGGACCACTAACTCCAATTACCTGGACCACTATCTCCAAATCCTTGGACCACTAACTCCAATTACCTGGACTACTAACTCCAATTACCTGGACCACTAACTCCAATTACCTGGACCACTAACTCCAATTACCTGGACCACTAACTCCAAATACTTGGACCACTAACTCCCATTACCTGGACAACTAACTCCCATTACCTGGACAACTAACTCCAAATACTTGGACCACTAACTCCAATTACCTGGACCACTAACTCCAAATACTTGGACCACTAACTCCAATTACCTGGACTACTAACTCTAATTACCTGGACCACTAACTCCAAATACTTGGACCACTAACTCCAATTACCTGGACCACTAACTCCAATTACCTGGACCACTAACTCCAAATACTTGGACCACCAACTCCAATAACCTGGACCAATAAACCCTAGTATTTGGAACACTAACTCCAAATACTTGGACCACTAACTCCCATTACCTGGACAACTAACTCCTAGTATTTGGAACACTACCTCCAAATACTTGGACCACTAACTCCAATTACCTTGACCACTAACTCAAAATACTTGGACCACTAACTCCAATTACCTGGACCACTAACTCCAATTACCTGGACCACTAACTCCAATTACCTGGACCACTAACTCCAAATACTTGGACAACTGACCCCAATTACCTGGACCACTAACTCCAAATACTTGGACCACTAACTCCAATTACCTGGACCACTAACTCCAATTACCTGGACCACTAACTCCTAGTATTTGGAATACTAACTCCAAATACTTGGACCACTGACTCCCATTACCTGAACCACTAGCTCCCAGCGCTTGGACCACTGACTCCCATTACCTGAACCACTAGCTCCCAGCGCTTGGACCACTGACCCCCAGGAATCGCACCACTAATTTGACCACGGCTCTGACCGCAAAGCCTCAGGCGATGATCCTGGGTTGATGCAAAAGACATTGTTCGACTGTGACGTGGACACATGTCTGTGACGTGGACACATGTCTGTGACGTGGACACATGTCTGTGAGTGGACACATGTCTGTGACGTGGACACATGACTGTGACGTGTACGCATGTCTTTGACGTGGACACATGACTGTGACGTGGACACATGTCAGTGACGTGGACACATGTCTTTGAGTGGACACATGTCTGTGACGTGGACACATGTCTGTGAGTGGACACATGTCTGTGACGTGGACACATGTCTGTGACGTGGACACCTATTGACATCTGACACCGTCATGTTAAAATTTGCAATAAAATTTCCCACGATACTACACTGTCTGTCAGCAAGCAATATGGAGTCCGCTTCGATTTCACGGAGTCGGAGCTTTCGGGTAAGTCGGTTAGGATTCCACGTTCGTAAATATTTAACCAGCTTACTCTTTATAAGTTGGTTTGCTTTTAAAAACATTAAAAATAAATTTCCTTTCATAATTTGGCTTTGTATGTGTTTATAAAAAAAGTTTTTTTAAAACAAATTTAAAACGAGTGATAGCCAATGGACAAAGTTATACAAGTGACGTTAAGCTACAAAGTTAAAATCGGAGTTGATGGGTGTAATCGAACATCTTAATATTTTTATTGCAGATTCGATTCCTCAAAGTAAGTCCCTCCTCCCCCCTCCCCCTCCCACACACCCTCAAACACATTGTTGTGTCAAACACGCGGCCAGGCCGTCGTATGCAGATATCTGAGCCAGGCATAGACAGACCAGACAAGCGTGGCCCTAGCGAGGCGGACATGTTTTCCATAACGGTAAGATGTTTGTGACATCTCATGCGAATGTTTGTTTGTCTTTGTGTCAGAAGAGACCAACAGCGGATTATTGTTGACAGTAAAAGTGACAGCTGTTGTGTTTATGAAGCCGAGGAATTAAACAAAATTAATAGAGAAAATGTGGTTGTTTTTTTAGTGTGCGGGGGGGGGGGCTGTCACGTGTTGTCAACAAAACCAAAAAACATTTTGTTGTTATTGTTTGTTTTGTTTTTTTCGTTTGTCAGTTCTTGCGACGAGACATGACAGACATGTGTCCATGTAGCTACTGGCTACCAGCTACCAACTACAGCTGATGTTTCCAATAAACTGACGTGATACGTAGCTATACATATCCTTGAACTTCACAAATATTTAGTGGGTGCTAGCAATTCATCCCGTCTTGAATCGCGTTATTAAAAAAGTGTTCGAATGTTAAATAAATACATATCTATTGAGTAGGGTGGGACCTCCGTCACCCACACCTCTTAAAAAAAAACACCAACCTATTCAAATAAAACCATTGAAACGAGTTTTTTAGCAGCGTGTAAACAATTGTGAAGCAATTAGTGAAATAACTTGTTAAACTTAAGATCCATTGAAACAAATCGATACAATGATAAATGAACGACTTTGAGTACTAAAACATCATTGCATTGTAGCATCTTCAGCGCTACAGTTTCCACGACGGTGTTACTTTCGCCTCGTTCACGTCTGAATAGCGTCCTGTACTGCAATGTGCTAAACTTGGTGGTGTCCTGTACTGTAATGTGCTACACTTGGTAGTGTCCTGTACTGTAATGTGCTACACTTGGTAGTGTCCTGTACTGTAATGTGCTACACTTGGTTGTGTCTCGTACTGTAATGTGCTAAACTTGGTAGTGTCCCCTACTGTAATGTGCTAAACTTGGTAGTGCCGTACTGTAATGTGCTAAACTTGGTAGTGTCCTGTACTGTAGTGTGCTAAACTTGGTAGTGTCCTGTACTGTAGTGTGCTAAACTTGGTAGTGTCCTGTACTGTAGTGTGCTAATCTTGGTAGTGCCGTACTGCAATGTGCTAAACTTGGTAGCGTCCTGTACTGTAATTTGCTAAACTTGGTAGTGTCCTGTACTGTAATGTGCTAAACTTGGTAGTGTCCTGTACTGTAGTGTGCTAAACTTGGTAGTGTCCTGTACTGTAGTGTGCTAAACTTGGTAGTGTCCTGTACTGTAGTGTGCTAAACTTGGTAGTGCCGTACTGCAATGTGCTAAACTTGGTAGCATCCTGTACTGTAATGTGCTAAACTTGGTAGTGTCCTGTACTGTAATGTGCTAAACTTGGTAGTGTCCTTTACTGTAGTGTGCTAAACTTGATAGTGTCCTGTACTGTAGTGTGCTAAACTTGGTAGTGTCCTGTACTGTAGTGTGCTAAACTTGGTAGTGTCCTGTACTGTAGTGTGCTAAACTTGGTAGTGTCCTGTACTGTAGTGTGCTAAACTTGGTAGTGTCCTGTACTGTAGTGTGCTAAACTTGGTAGTGTCGTTTACTGTAATGTGCTAAACTTGGTAGTGTCCTTTACTGTAATGTGCTAAACTTGGTAGTGTCCTGTACTGTAGTGTGCTAAACTTGGTAGTGTCCTATGCTGTAATGTGCTAAACTTGGTAGTGTCCTTTACTGTAGTGTGCTAAACTTGGTAGTGTCCTGTACTGTAGTGTGCTAAACTTGGTAGTGCCCTGTACTGTAGTGTGCTAAACTTGGTAGTGTCCTGTACTGTAATGTGCTAAACTTGGTAGTGTCCTGTTATGTGCTAACCTTTGTAGTTTCCAAAGTTAAAGTCTCATTAATTTCAAAGGGACAAAACTGCGTATTCTCTTCATACAACGCTGTTCCAACGGTGGCCTTTCTTAGCATTAGTTCCAGACATACGTCTTGATATACCGTATACTATTTGGTGGCAAGATCACATGAAACCAATTACTTCAATTTCAACACGGAGCTTCGATAGTATCATAAAGTGAAACATACTATAACTGATGTTGCAATAATGTCGTCTGCTGCTGATTGGTGTCAGCATTAATATCGTCTGCTTCTAATTGGTGTCAGCATTAATGTCGTCTGCTGCTGATTGGTGTCAGCAATAATGGTGTCTGCTGCTGATTGGTGTCAGCATTAATATCGTCTGCTTCTGATTGGTGTCAGCATTAATGTCGTCTGCTGCTGATTGGTGTCAGCAATAATGGTGTCTGCTGCTGATTGGTGTCAGCAGTAATGGTGTCTGCTGCTGATTGGTGTCAGCAGTAATGTTGTCTGCTGCTGATTGGTGTAAGAAGTAATTTTGTCTGCTGCTGATTAGTGTCAGCAGTAATGGCGTCTGGTTCTGATTGGTGTCAGCATTAATGTCGTCTGCTGCTGATTGGTGTCAGCAATAATGGTGTCTGCTGCTGATTGGTGTCAGCAGTAATGGTGTCTGCTGCTGATTGGTGTCAGCAGTAATGGTGTCTGCTGCTGATTGGTGTCAGCAGTAATGGTGTCTGCTGCTGATTGGTGTCAGCAGTAATGTTGTCTGCTGCTGATTGGTGTAAGAAGTAATTTTGTCTGCTGCTGATTGGTGTCAGCAGTAATGTTGATTGCTGCTGATTGGTGTAAGAAGTAATTTTGTCTGCTGCTGATTAGTGTCAGCAGTAATGGTGCCTGCTGCTGATTGGTTTCAGCAGTAATGTTGCCTGCTGCTGATTAGTGTCAGCAGTAATGTTGTCTGCTGCTGATTGGTGTCAGCAGTAATGCTGTCATCTGCTGATTGGTGTCAGCAGTAATGTCGTCTGCTGCTGATTCGTGTGAGTGTTTGATATGTCTGAACATGTGTTTTGATACTTTGAGTACGTATGTACTTGAACTTAACGTCAACAAGATCTGATTGGCCATAAGACGTCACTAGTTATTATTAGCAACACGCTTGCTGGGTTTTCCCCGGACAATTTTTAGAATATTTTAACGGCAAGGTAAGTCAGAAGCCTGCTGTCACCTTGAATGTGGTGTTGATGTCCTTCAAATATTTTCAAGGAAAGTGTGTATGTGTGGGGGGAGAGGGAGGGTGTGCTTATAAGGCCAACGGCCACCTGCCAATAATTTGTTTGACCGTTGCAATAATTTAATGAACACATTTTTTTCCAATTAGTTTTTTTTACACAAATTTACATAATCAAGGCCATGTAAAGTATATACGTGACAGACGAGGACTTAATGGGAAACAGATCATACTCTGAGAACCTCTTAAAAAAAAGGACTGCAATAGGAAACAGATCATACTCTGAGAACCTCTTAAAAAAAAGGACTGCAATAGGAAACAGATCATACTCTGAGAACCTCTTAAAAAAAAGGACTGCAATAGGAAACAGATCATACTCTGAGAACCTCTTAAAAAAAAGGACTGCAATAGGAAACAGATCATACTCTGAGAACCTCTTAAAAAAAAGGACTGCAATAGGAAACAGATCATACTCTGAGAACCTCTTAAAAAAAAGGACTGCAATAGGAAACAGATCATACTCTGAGAACCTCTTAAAAAAAAGGACTGCAATAGGAAACAGATCATACTCTGAGAACCTCTTAAAAAAAAGGACTGCAATAGGAAACAGATCATACTCTGAGAACCTCTTAAAAAAAAGGACTGCAATAGGAAACAGATCATACTCTGAGAACCTCTTAAAAAAAAGGACTGCAATAGGAAACAGATCATACTCTGAGAACCTCTTAAAAAAAAGGACTGCAATAGGAAACAGATCATACTCTGAGAACCTCTTAAAAAAAAGGACTGCAATAGGAAACAGATCATACTCTGAGAACCTCTTAAAAAAAAGGACTGCAATAGGAAACAGATCATACTCTGAGAACCTCTTAAAAAAAAGGACTGCAATAGGAAACAGATCATACTCTGAGAACCTCTTAAAAAAAAGGACTGCAATAGGAAACAGATCATACTCTGAGAATCTCTTTAAAAAAAGGACTGCAATAGGAAACAGATCATACTCTGAGAACCTCTTAAAAAAAAGGACTGCAATAGGAAACAGATCATACTCTGAGAACCTCTTAAAAAAAAGGACTGCAATAGGAAACAGATCAAACTCTGAGAATCTCTTAAAAAAAAGGACTGCAATAGGAAACAGATCATACTCTGAGAACCTCTTAAAAAAAAGGACTGCAATAGGAAACAGATCAAACTCTGAGAATCTCTTAAAAAAAAGGACTGCAATAGGAAACAGATCATACTCTGAGAACCTCTTAAAAAAAAGGACTGCAATAGGAAACAGATCATACTCTGAGAACCTCTTTAAAAAAAGGACTGCAATAGGAAACAGATCATACTCTGAGAACCTCTTAAAAAAAAGGACTGCAATAGGAAACAGATCAAACTCTGAGAATCTCTTAAAAAAAGTACTGCAGTGGGACAGAATCTAGCAGAGTTACAAACCTGAGTGGGAGGTGCGGAACGGATGTTGTTAAAAGCTGGATGACGACACATGTCCGTTACTGACACCATGGACATTCTCAACCTGTTTGACCGCATTTAATTCTCTGTGTAGAGAGATGGGGGTAGGTGGTGGTGGGGGGGTAGAAGGATGGGGGTGGATTAGGCCGAGAGAGAGCTTCAAAAAACTGTTTCCTTTGACATTGAGGTTAAAATTATTTTAAATTTATCCTGAAAACGACATTTAAAAAAAAAAGTTTTGTAAAAATAGCAAACACATCTGTCTATTGTTTTGTTAAAATAGTATTCATAGCTGTGTATTGGTGTGTTAAAACTTAAAAAAAAAATAATTTTGATTAAATAGTTGTACAATTAAGTTACCGTATTTTCCGACGTATAAGACAACTTTTTAACCCATGAAAATCGTATTGAAAAGTCGGGGGAGGGGGGGGGGGTCGTCTTATAAGCTGGTGTACGGCGTGCTGAAACTTCAGGGACAGGCGCCCTCTAGTTCCAGATTGGTTGACAGATTAGGAAACCAACAGCATGGCAGTCCCCAATGGGTTTATTGTCTTATCCTTCCATTCAGCTTTAGAGTGGATTAGGAAAAGTTCAATCCACTTGCACTGTTTTATGTTGACATGTTTGATGACAAAGAGCCTTATGTTTGTTAGTGACCGTTTTCCTGCTAATTACCTGCATGCCATAAGCATTTGATTTAAAATTACCATATTGAAATAATATGTGATTTTCATTTTTTTTTTTTTAAATTTGGCCTGCGTTGGAAGAGGGATTGTCTTATACGGCGAGTATGGTCAAGACCCTATATTTTAACAAGAAAAGTAGGGAGTCGTCTTATACGGCTAGTATGGTCCAGACCCTATATTTTAACAGGAAAAGTAGGGAGTCGTCTTATACGGCTAGTATGGTCCAGACCCTATATTTTAACAGGAAAAGTAGGGAGTCGTCTTATACGGCCAGTATGGTCCAGACCCTATATTTTAACAAGAAAAGTAGGGAGTCGTCTTATACGGCTAGTATGGTCCAGACCCTATATTTTAACAGGAAAAGTAGGGAGTCGTCTTATACGGCGAGTATGGTCCAGACCCTATATTTTAACAGGAAAAGTAGGGAGTCGTCTTATACGGCCAGTATGGTCCAGACCCTATATTTTAACAGGAAAAGTAGGGAGTCGTCTTATACGGCCAGTATGGTCCAGACCCTATATTTTAACAGGAAAAGTAGGGAGTCGTCTTATACGGCCAGTATGGTCCAGACCCTATATTTTAACAGGAAAAGTAGGGAGTCGTCTTATACGGCGAGTATGGTCCAGACCCTATATTTTAACAGGAAAAGTAGGGAGTCGTCTTATACGGCGAGTATGGTCCAGACCCTATATTTTAACAGGAAAAGTAGGGAGTCGTCTTATACGGCGAGTATGGTCCAGACCCTATATTTTAACAGGAAAAGTAGGGAGTCGTCTTATACGGCGAGTATGGTCCAGACCCTATATTTTAACAGGAAAATTAGGGAGTCGTCTTATACATCCAGTCGTCGCATACGCCGGAAAACATGGTACATTATTTGTATGATCCGTGTATAGTTTGGTAATGTTTGCGTTCCACGGTTTCATACTGCAGTACGGTTTCACTTCAGCCTTTAACGTCAGCCTTTAACGTCAGCATTTCTGTGTCTCGTCCACCGCACCCGATGTATTCTAAGCATCATTCTTAAGGCTACCCACAGATTTGGCATGACATACTTATAACTTACGGATGTTTATGAATTTAGCGGCTTCCATTGGAAGCTTCGCAGCATGAGGAAATAATTCTTCGGCTGTATTTAGTTCAGTCAACAGATCACGTCCATTTACACATCGGTATTCCCTTGATACTTTAACTTACTCTACAAACCTTGGACATGCTGCTCTGAGCTTATCGTTGTCTGCCAGATGTTTTTTTTTTATAGGTCATTTAAAAATCCCCATGTGTCATTGACACTTTACAACATGTCAAAATTCTCTCATAAAGAATGTATAGCTCTGTACAGTAATACATTGAACACGTGATTTAAGAAACAAAACAAAACTGATTATAGGGCACCTAAAAGAAATAACGTCTGCCTCTGCCAGTAGCGACCTTTGCCACCACGTCCAGTGCGCGGACACATGGTTTATTTAGTACGGCAGACACACATACGATTTGTGTAGTATGACAGACAAACATGCAATTTGTGTATTATGACAGACAATCTTATGTGTATCCAGTGAGCTGACTACTCAAGCAACAAAGTGTGCCCCTAGATGTTGCTTACAGTTGTTTGCCAGGGTAGCAGGGATCCTATTTGTAATGCCATTGTAGCAGTGGGTCCTATTTGAACTTCCATTGTAGCAGTGGATCCTATTTGTAATTCCATGGTAGCAGTGTGTCCTATGTGTAATGCCATTGTAGCATTTAATCCTATTTGTAATTCCATTGTAGCAGTGGATCCTATTTGTAATTCCATTGTAGCAGTGGATCCTATTTGTAATGCCATTGTAGCAGTGGGTCCTATTTGAAATGCCATTGTAGCAGTGGGTCCTATTTGAAATGTCATTGTAGCAGTGGATCCTATTTGTAATTCCATTGTAGCAGTGGGTCCTATTTGTAATGCCATTTGTGGCAGTGGATCCTATTTGTAATTCCATTGTAGCAGTGGGTCCTATTTCTAATGCCATTGTACCAATGGGTCCTATTTGTAATTCCATTGTAGCAGTGGGTCCTATTTCTAATGCCATTGTAGCAGTGGGTCCTATTTGTAATTCCAATTTAGCAGTGGATCCTATTTGTAATTCCATTGTAGCAGTGGGTCCTATTTGTAATGCCATTTGTGGCAGTGGATCCTATTTGTAATGCCATTGTAGCAGTGGGTCCTATTTGAAATGCCTTTGTAGCAGTGTATCCTATGTGCAATGCCTTTGTAGCAGTGGGTCCTATTTGTAATGCCATTGTAGCAGTGGGTCCTATTTGTAATTCCATTGTAGCAGTGGGTCCTATTTCTAAAGCCATTGTGGCACAGGCTGTGCTGGTCATGGTATCAATAGGTCCGACCTGAGTTTTCCGTATTCATTAGGTCCAACCTGTGATAGCACAATAACATTCGGCCTATCTTCTGATGTTCAACCAAAGCCTGACATTTCTAGGTGTGTTGTCATGTTTTTTTCGTAGATAGCGACACGCTTGCCGCACTCCTGACAGTGATGGATGTCTGGTTGTCATGTTCCCTCGGTGACAGTCTCACGTTGTGATACCAGACACGAGCAGGCCATGATGGCCGAATACTACAGAAATAGGGGGGGGGGGACGGGGGGCGGTCACACAATTATGACATTGTTGAACACACCCCTACCCTTCATAACGTTATATAACATTTATATTAACCACCCTCCCCAAAATATTATATAACTAGCAAATATACCCGACGTTGCCCGGGATTGCGTTCGGAAAAAACAACAACTTCTTAAGCCTTTTTAATAAACATTAAATTTAAGGGCCAGGTAAAAAAACAACCTCAGCCCTAATAAAAATACAACTGACCCCTAAAAAAAGAACAACGTCACCCCTATAATAAAAAAACCTCAACCCTATAGTAAAAAAACAACCTCACCCCTATAGTAAAAAAACAACGTCACCCCTATAGTAAAAAAACAACCTCACCCCGATAGTAAAAAAACAACCTCACCCCTATAGTAAAAAACAACCTCACCCCTATAGTAAAAAAACAACCTCACCCCTATAGTAAAAAAACAACGTCACCCCTATAGTAAAAAAAAACCTCACACCTAATAAAAAAAACAACCTCACCCCTATTGTAAAAAAACAACCTCACCCCTATAGTAAAAAAACAACCTCACCCCTATAGTAAAAAAACAACCTCACACCTTTAGTAAAAAAACAACCTCACCCCTATAGTAAAAAAACAACCTCACCCTTATAGTAATAAAAACAACCTCACCCTTATAGTAATAAAAACAACCTCACCCTATAGTAAAAAAAACCTCACCCCTCTAGTAAAAAAACAACCTCACCCCTTTAGTAAATAAACAACCTCACCCCTATAGTAAAAAAACAACCTCACCCTTATAGTAATAAAAACAACCTCACCCCTATAGTAAAAAAAACCTCACCCCTATAGTAAAAAAAACAACCTCACACCTATAGTAAAAAAAACAACCTCACCCCTATAGTAAAAAAACAACCTCACCCCTATAGTAAAAAAACAACCTCACCCCTATAGTAATAAAAACAACCTCACCCCTATAGTTAAAAAAAAAACAACAAAAAAAAAAAAACAAATAACTTGTATCCTATAAAAAGACATTTAAAATAACTTTTGTAAACCTTTCGTTCCTTGATGGGATCCCGATCCAGAGGGATTCCGATCCCGTGTGGATCCCGATACCTTTATGTTTCCGATCCAATCGCTTTTCCGAACCCTGTGGGTTCTCGATCCCGTCGGTGTCCCGATCCCGGTGGGATCCCGATCCCGGCGAGATGCCAATCCCGATTGTATCATAAGCCCAGTGTGATCCCGTTTCCGGTGGGATCTTGATACGGTGGGATCCCGGTGGAATCCCGATGCCGATTGGATCCCGATACCGGTGGGATAACGATAACGATTCCTGCTCTTCCTATCACCCCTTCGACAGCTTCGCTCCTCCCCAGACACGCGTATTCTGTCCATTCCCAAGACACACACTAAAACATATGGTGAACGATCTTTCTCTTTCTGCGCCCCCAAACAATGGAATTCTTTGCCACTACACATCTGCAATATACCAACCACCCAGGCCTTCAAAAGTCCACTCAAAACACATCTCTTTAAACTCTACTACCCTGACTGATTCCCCTTCTCTGACCGATAAATGATTTTGTTGGCTGCCGTCCATGGTTTGCCTTGTAAAAGTCCTGGGGTTCATGCTGTTCTTTATTTCATAGTTGTATTTGATTTTTAATGTCATTATTATGTCTCTTTTGATAATATTTTTATGTACAGCGCGGTGAGCCCACCTGCGCTATAAAAGACCACTAATTATTATTATTATTATTATTATTCAGATTCCGGTGTGATCCCGATCCTTGTTGTATGATAATCCTGGTGTGATCTCGTTCCCTGTGGAAACCCGATACTGGTGGGATTCTGTTTCCCGGTGTGATCCCCATCCCGGTGGGTTTCCGTTTCACGGTGGAATCCCATGTCATGGTTTGGATCCCCTGACCCCGTTACTCGATGGGATTCCGTTACCGCTGGGTTCCATTTTCCTCGTTCCCCTTTAGGATCCTGTTCATCGTTGTGATTTTTTTTCCCGGTAGGATTATGGAGGACATGTTTAGAGAAAATCCCCAGGAAAATCCCCAGGAAAGTATAGAAATGATTAGAACTGAACTGTCATTTCAATAAATTTCTAGATACCATTATATATCCCCGAAGAACATAATAGAACTTTCTGGAACATTCTAGATTTAATTTAATATCCTCCTCAAAACGTGTAATAATGTCTTTTCTGCGTAATTATCTTTCAAATACGACACATTATACAACTAAATGCACTTCTATAACTAAAACACATTTAAGTTGAAAGAGGGGCCCCATCGGGGGTCCATTCCATAATTGTGCCGAATTAGTTATGCCTGAGATAAGGGGCCCTATAAAAATCAGTCAATTAAGTTATGCATTTAAAAATTGTTCCATTAAAATCTATTTATTAATGCGCAAATATAGCTTTTTAAATTATCGAACATTCTGAAAATTCTAGATTGGATATTTTTAGTTGTAACCCCCCCCCCCCCCACCCACCCCCCCAAAAAAAACAAAAAACAAAAAACAACAACAAAAAAACAACAAAAAAACAACACAATGTAACAAAATGATAAACCGACCCCTACCCCCTTCACATCACATCATATGCGCACGGTCCCTTAACATTCAGAAGAAATGTCTGGGATTTAAATAACGAGAGAACAGACGAAAACAGGAAGTTAAGAAGATATGTCACTATGTCAGTGGTTCTCAAAGTGTGCTGACGGGAGAAAATTGGCTTCTTCACGCGAGGCGCCTGGAAATATTACACACATTTTATAATATTTACATTTTAAAGTCTAGCTGTCAACTTGAAAGCCAGTAACTCAATTAGTAACAAATATATAAGCCAGTAACTCAGTTATAATAAGAACTATATATAAGCCAGTAGCTCATTTTGTAAGAACTATATAAGCCAGTATCTCAGTCAGTAAGAACTATATAAGCCAGTAACTTAGTTAGTAAGAACTATATAAGCCAGTAACTTAGTTAGTAAGAACTATATAAGCCCGTAATTCAGTTAGTAAGAACTATATAAGCCAGTAACTTAGTAAGAACTATATAAGCCAGTAATTCAGTTAGTAAGAACTATATAAGCCAGTAACTTAGTTAGTAAGAACTATATAAGCCAGTAACTTAGTTAGTAAGAACTATATAAGCCAGTAACTTAGTAAGAACTATATAAGCCAGTAATTCAGTTAGTAAGAACTATATAAGCCAGTAACTCAGTCAGTAAGAACTATATAAGCCAGTAACTTAGTTAGTAAGAATTATATAAGCCAGTAACTTAGTTAGTAAGAACTATATAAGCCAGTAATACAGTTAGTAAGAACTACATAAGCCAGTAACTTAGTTAGTAAGAACTATATAAGCCAGTAATTCAGTTAGTAAGAACTATATTATAAGCCATTTTAACTAGACTTGTAGGGTTTGATCTGAACATTTTAACTAGACTTGCAGGGTTTGTTCTGAACATTTTAACTAGACTTGAAGGGTTTGTTCTGAACATGTAAACTAGGAACATAGTTATGTTGCAATAAAGCTTTTATTTATCCGTGGGGTATATATAGGAATTTTTTTTATATTTTGAATTCCATACTGTGGAATCAGTTAATTGAGGCAACATGACCTCTTTCATCTGACAAAATGACCTGTCTCATCTGACAAAATGACCTGTCTCATCTGTCAAAATGACCTGTCTCATCTGACAAAATGACCTGTCTCGTGTGAAAAAAATAACCTGCCTCATCGAACTAAATAACCTTTCTGCTATGACAAAATGACCTGTCTCATCTGGCAAAATAACCTGTCTCATCTGGCAAAATGACCTTTCTTATCTGGCAAAATGACCTGTCTCATCTGGCAAAATGACCTGTCTCATCTGGAAAAATGACCTGTCGCAACTGGCAAAATGACCTATCTCATCTGGCAAAATGACCTGGCAAAATGGCCTGTCTCATCTGGCAAAATAGCCTGTCTCATCTGGCAAAATGGCCTGTCTCATCAGGCAAAATGGCCAGTCTCATCAGGCAAAATGACCTGTCTAATCTGGCAAAATTTCCTGTCTCATCTTGCAAAATGACCTGTCTCATCTGGCAAAATGACCTGTCTCATCTGGCAAAATGGCAGCTCCTTTTGACTGACAAAACAAATCGTCCTCCGCAACTAGCTCAATGTTTCCAGCATAACTGTGTTTGAGGTCTTTATTAAGCATATTTAGACTTCCTTTAAAAACATAATTTTTGCCTAACTTTTTGTTCTTGTCTCATCTGCCAACAGAAGAACGTCATCTTGTCCTGCCTGTTTGGCCTCATCTATGGTCACGTGGACAGTTTCCTGACGTCGCCGGATGTGGACACACAGGCTGGGTTTTTCCCTGACTCGGGTTTCCTGACAGCAGTTCCACACTTGGGTAAACAAACCACATGTCATTATCATACACTTGGGTAAACAAACCACATACCATTTATCATACACTTGGGTAAACAAACCTCATGCCATTTATCATACACTTGGGTAAACAAACCACATGACATTTATCATACTCTCGGGTTAACAAATCACATGTCATTTAAGTATGTTCGATTGAAAGCAAGTTGCTATACACTCTGTTTGAAAAGATTCGGGGCTATTACTGATGGGTATAACTGGCATATTTTCTAAAAAAATTATACCGAAAAATATAATATTCATTATTAAAAAAAAAAGACTTGATTAAATCTCATCACGATCAAATTTGGTGTGGAGCTGCTCTCAAAGTAATGGGATATCAACGCCGATCTCTCTCTATGCGTGTAGGTGAGTGGAAGAGAGGGATTCCAGAGATTTATTGTGATGTAAAATATAGTGAAAACGTGTTTATTAAGTGAAACAGGAAGAGGGAGATAATCTTTGTGATAGGTGACTGCTTATTTGAAGATTACTTCCCTTAATTTCTCTTAGAGTACTTCTTTATAGATATATATACATTTTAAAATTACAGATTTCAAGTCATTGAAGCAAAACTAATCTTACCATTGTCATAGCACTTTATTAATGCTGTCAGAACACAGACTTGACGTTGTCATAGTACAAAAATTAACAATGCAATGTTAATTTTTTTATTTTTTTATTTACAATTCGGTGCAACTTTCATAATACTACATTACAAGTGTCACAATACTACAGTACAACGGTCACAATACTACAGTACACCTGTTTCAATACTACATTACAGCTGTCCCAATGCTACAGTACAACTTTCACACTACTACAGTACAACGGTCACAATACTACATTACAGCTGTCCCAATGCTACAGTACAACTTTCACACTACTACAGTACAACAGTCACAATACTACATTACAGCTGTCCCAATGCTACAGTACAACTTTCACACTACTACAGTACAACGGTCACAATACTACAGTGCACCTGTTTCAATACTACATTACAGCTGTCCCAATGCTACAGTACAACTTTCACACTACTACAGTACAACGGTGACAATACTACTGTACACCTGTTTCAATACTACATTACAGCTGTCCCAATACTACAGTACAACTTTCACACTACTACAGTGGCAATATGATGATGCAAATGACCAACATATTTATATGCTCATTCAGAGAGCCGTAGCCATCAAAACCCCAACTACTACCACCACGGCAGCCACTACAACCACCTCGGCACCACCTTCCTCCGCGACGGCGCGGGGAATAATGTCGACACCATCCTCCACCCGAGGGACGCGTTGGCCAAACGCCTGCAGTGAGTATCTCAGTTCAGCCACCGTCAGAAGCTCAGGCGCCCCGCAGAGCTCTACTGTCAGAGGGACAACAAACGTTTGTGCTCGGCACTTGAATATTACTCATTGAAAAGTCCTGCCTCATTGCTCCGTCTCTACGTCATTTTAAGTGCATCATGGCGTACGTCGTACAGGCGGTACCGTCACGTCCGTGTCAGAGGGGGGATCATTCATGTTTAAATTGGATAAGATAATTTGGGAGTTGTTTTCCTTTAGTTATTCTCTCCCTGTTTCTCTTTCTCGCCTCTCTCTCCTCCCTCTCTTTCTCTCTCTTTCTCTCTCTCTCTCTCTTTCTTTCTCTCTTTCTCTCTCTCTTTTTTCTCTCCCTCACTCTCTCTTTTTCTTTCTCTCTCTTCTCTCTCTCTTTCACTCTCTTTCTTTCTCTCTCCCCCTACCACCACACACACCACACCGTGAAATTAAAAAAAATACTGTTCCATTTTTAAGCACGCAATTTCCTAAACAAAAATGATGACGTAATTATAATTTTGAAATAACATTCTTTTAAGGCTTGAATCCTAAAAACCAATGAAAACTATACTTTTCAGAACTATGTTCATGCTAATGCTATTTGTAGCGCGATGTCCTTTTGACCACGTGACGCGTTGATCAATCAAATCTCTGACTCCTATCTGGTCAATAATTTAGTATCTGGATCGATATCCCGTTTAAGTTCAAAAGAAAAAAAAATCATCCCTCTATCCACAGTATCGTTTCGTGCGCAATAAGACAGTCCAGTTGATCTGACCGCAGCAAGTCATTGTAAATGTGGTCTTTGTTTGGGTCAATTCAGGACCATCGAGTCGATCTGACTGTAGCAAGTCATTGTAAATGTGGTCTTTGTTAGGGTCGATTCAGGACCATCGAGTCGATCTGACTGTAGCAAGTCATTGTAATTGGGGTCTTTGTTAGGGTCAATTCAGGACCATCGAGTCGATCTGACTGTAGCAAGTCATTGTAAATGTGGTCTTTGTTAAGGTCAATTCAGGACCATCGAGTCGATCTGACTGTAGCAAGTCATTGTAAATGTGGTCTTTGTTAGGGTCGATTCAGGACCATCGAGTCGATCTGACTGTAGCAAGTCATTGTAATTGTGGTCTTTGTTAAGGTCAATTCAGGACCATCGAGTCGATCTGACTGTAGCAAGTCATTGTAATTGTGGTCTTTGTTAGGGTCAATTCAGGACCATCGAGTCGATCTGACTGTAGCAAGTCATTGTAAATGTGGTCTTTGTTAAGGTCAATTCAGTACCATCGAGTCGATCTGACTGTACCAAGTGATTGTAAATGTGATCTTTGTTAAGGTCAATTCAGTACCATCGAGTCGATCTGATTGCTGCAAGTATTTGTAAATGTCTTCTTTGTTAGGGTCTAGTCGAACAAGGTTTGGGGGGTGGGGGTGTTAAAGGTATATGAGGGATGGGAGTGGAGGGGGTGACAACAGATTTGAACTGTCAGCCCACCATCATACTTGCCTGTGTCTTACTACCCGTGTAGCCCGGTAACACATTATTTTAATTTGAATCATTCAACCTTCCAGAACAATTAAAAAAACACAACATGTTATCACTTTTATCGTGTTAACACCTAGCATAAACAATACCATTATTATTACAACTATCATTGTTGTTATCCTTATTTATTATTATCTTTATTAATTATTATCATTATTTATTATTATCATTATTTATTATTATCATTATTTATTATTATCCTTATTTATTATTATCATTATTTATTCTTTTCATTATTTATTATTATCATTATTTATTATTATCATTATTTATTATTATCATTATTTATTATTATCATTATTTATTATTATCATTATTTTTTATCATCATTATTTATAATTTTTTTTTTTCATGCAGGCGTTTTATGACCGCCATGTCGCATCGCAAGTTACTTCCGGTCTCGAAAAATCTGCCCACGACGTCCCACGTAGAGGATCCCGCCTTCTTACATTTGTTTACAGGAGCCAAAGATAATAAAGGCTAACCGGAAATGACGCGTGTTATCTTTTTCTTGGATAATTCTGAACTATCTTATAATAAATGAATGTAAACTATATATATATATATATATATATATATATATATATATATATATATATATATATATATATATATATATATATATATATATATATATATATATATATATATATATATATATACATTAAATGTCCAGCCAACAGATGAGTGCATTATTAAATACATATACCGTGTTTTTTTTTATACATGTGAATTGAAAACTTCTTGAATTATTAAACTTCCTGTTGTGAAGCAGACGACAATTTTTGGTTTAGCAAATATTTGAATCACTAGATTTTCTTTATTATACATGGTGCATCATGGGCAAAACATTTTCAATATCATTCTTAACATCTATATATATAATTCGCCAGCAAAGGGCAAATACCACCCACGCAGGCTATATATAGATACGCCAGAGTGTGGTTCAAAAATGAGTTCACTAGCACGCAAAATATAATTCCCGATAACTATGCTAAATGATATATATATATATTTTTAATAACGCAACTGCGTTTGGGGCGTAATATTTTCTTTTCGGAAATGAAATCGTCTCAATTTAAGTATTGTGTCAAAAATATTCGGTTTAAAAGTGGTTGGGACATGAGAATATTAATACAGTTCATGGGCGTGAAATAAAAAGTGTGCAGGGGGAAGGGGTGTGGCAAAATTGGCATTCTTAAATGTGCGTAACTTGAGTTCACGTTTTTGTCAAGTAACTTCACTAGATGGGAAGTTCACGTATTGCTGTCGCCAATGTTTGGCGGGCTATAACTAGTTTACATTATTTGTTAACATCATCTTCAGGGGGGTATTTTGGATGCACATTTTGTACTCAAGATTCACATGAACCTGAGGCAGTAAGCTCGTGTCCCGTCAATGTTGGCATATTCCTTTAGCGATAACCTATAATTGTTTTTTTTTTCCTTCCCCTTAAATAATTAGAAAGTTTTCCACTTATGAATATCGAATGGTGCCCAGGGACAGTTTCTCCGATGTCTGAACTGTCACAGAGATCGAAGATCCACTGTCACACAAAAAGTTCAACTATTTCTACAATAATTAGGTAGCCCTATCCCACCCCCACCCCCCACCCCCCCAGACACACACAACTCTATTTTCCGTGATCTCCAAAGAGGACACCAGAGGTGTCTAACAATGGGTTCTCGGGGGTGTGTAGAAATCACTGAACAACACAGTCAACATCACTGAACAACACAGTTAACATCACTGAACAACACCACTGAACAACACAGTTAACATCACTGAACAACACAGTCAACATCACTGAACAACACAGTCAACATTTGGTTTTCTCTTGACATTTTACACTAAACAACATAGTATGTAATTCATTTTTTTTTTGTTCTTGAAATTTTATACTAAATATTACAGGAAACTCATATGATGCAACTGAGTATTTTATTTATTCACCACTAAACATTGCCTGATTTAAAACAACAAAGTTATGAGATGGAATGATGTGTCAAGGGGCTTCAGTGGTCAGTTTGGACGTATAGGTATCCAATTTAAGTAAGTACTAGGGTTTACACCAAAAAAGAACAAAACACATTTACCTAAAGGTGACATCACACTTGACATTTGAAGAAGAAAGTCGATTTGCATCCTGTTTTCAATGTAACAAAAATAAATAAACGAATCTAGGTGTACATACGACATAAATATTTGATGTCATATATATTGGTGAAAGTTTATTAAATAAAAAAAATGTTTTTGAAAATTTTAAGATAGTTTGATCGCTATTGTGTCTTTTAATGTAAGAGTTTAAGCCAGTGTGTCAGAGATTGATCGCTAGTGTGTCTTTTAATGTAAAAGTTTAAGCCAGTGTGTCAGAGTTTGATCGCTAGTGTGTGTTTTAATGTAACAGTTTAAGCCAGTGTGCCAGAGATTGATCGCTAGTGTGTGTTTTAATGTAACAGTTTAAGCCAGTGTGTCAGAGATTGATCGCTATTGTGTCTTTTAATGTAAAAGTTTAAGCCAGTGTGTCAGAGATTGATCGCTAGTGTGTGTTTTATGTAACAGTTTAAGCCAGTGTGTCAGAGATTGATCGCTAGTGTGTCTTTTAATGTAACAGTTTAAGCCAGTGTGCCAGAGTTTGATCGCTAGTGTGTGTTTTATGTAACAGTTTAAGCCAGTGTGTCAGAGATTGATCGCTAGTGTGTGTTTTAATGTAACAGTTTAAGCCAGTGTGCCAGAGATTGATCGCTAGTGTGTGTTTTATGTAACAGTTTAAGCCAGTGTGCCAGAGTTTGATCGCTAGTTTGTGTTTTAATGTAACAGTTTAAGCCAGTGTGCCAGAGATTGATCGCTAGTGTGTGTTTTATGTAACAGTTTAAGCCAGTGTGCCAGAGTTTGATCGCTATTGTGTGTTTTAATGTAACAGTTTAAGCCAGTGTGTCAGAGATTGATCGCTAGTGTGTGTTTTAATGTAACAGTTTAAGCCAGTGTGCCAGAGTTTGATCGTTTCAGTGTGCGCTCGATACGATTAGGGGAATTCAAATGAAGTTGAAAACCCGTGTCTAGACATTAAGAACCTTCAAGAAGAAGAAGATGGGGACATTTCACCGGAAGATGAGAACCAGTCAACAGAAGATGAGAAGCAGTCACCAGAAGATGAGAAGCAGTCACCAGAAGATGAGAAACAGTCACCAGAAGATGAGAAACAGTCACCCGAGAGAACCAGTCACCAGAAGATGAGAAACAGTCACCCGAGAGAACCAGTCACCAGAAGATGAGAAACAGTCACCATAAGATGAGAAACAGTCACCCGAGAGAACCAGTCACCAGAAGATGAGAAGCAGTCACCATAAGATGAGAAGCAGTCACCCGAGAGAACCAGTCACCAGAAGATGAGAAACAGTCACCATAAGATGAGAAGCAGTCACCCGAGAGAACCAGTCACCAGAAGATGAGAAACAGTCACCATAAGATGAGAAGCAGTCACCCGAGAGAACCAGTCAACAGAAGATGAGAAACAGTCACCATAAGATGAGAAGCAGTCACCATAAGATGAGAAACGGTCACCCGAGAGAACCAGTCACCAGAAGATGAGAACCAGTCACCATAAGATGAGAAACAGTCACCCGAGAGAACCAGTCACCAGAAGATGAGAAACAGTCACCATAAGATGAGAAGCAGTCACCATAAGATGAGAAGCAGTCACCCGAGATAACCAGTCAACAGAAGATGAGAAACAGTCACAACGATATTTAAACCAGCCATTAGAACACGAGAACTAGTCATAAGAAGACAAGTCACCTGTCATCAGATGTTGGAATGAAGTCACTAGTCGTCAGATTTTGGGATGAAGTCTTCAGTCACCTGTCATAAGATGTTGTGATCAAGTCACCAAACCCAGTCAGCAACAAATGAACCGGTCATCAGAACAGAAGAACCAAGCATTCACCAAACAACGGAATTATCAGCCTTGGTGGATAGATGGATTGTGTTGTGGGCAGATGGATTATTTTGTGGGCAGACGGATTGTTTTCTGGGCAGACAGATTGTTTTCTGTGCAGACAGATTGTTTTGTGAGCAGATAGTTTTATTGTCAGACTAATGGCTTTGATCTGATGGATGAGTGAAAGATTCAACGAAAGAATGGATCTTGGAATGAATCTTTGAATAGATCTTGGAATGGATCTTCGAAGGTATCTTGGAATGTATCTTGGAATATATCTTGGAACGTATCTTGGAATGTATCTTGGAATAGATTTTAGAATGGATCTAGGAATGGATCTTGGAATGTATTTTTAATGGATTTTGTAATGGATCTTGAAAGTATCGTGGAATTGATCTTGGAATTGATCTTGGAATGGATCTAAGAACAGATCGATCAATGGTTTTTAAACTTGAAAACTTTCTTTCCCCAAAACGCTGTGTTATCCACTATTCATCCATTATACAAATCACAACACACCGGATGAGACAACAAAACACATGGGATGAGACAACACAACGCACGGGCTGAGGCAACACAACACACGGGATAACACAACGCACGGGATGAGACTACACAACACACGGGATGACACAACACACGGAATGAGACAAAACAACACACGGGATGAGGCAACACAACACACGGGATGACACAACACACGGAATGAGACAAAACAACACACGGGATGAGGCAACACAACACACGGAATGAGGCAACACAACACATGGGATGACACAACACACGGGATGAAACAACACAACACACGGGATGAGGCAACACAACGCATGGGATAACACAACACAACACATGGGATGAGACAACACAACACATGGGATAACACAACACAAGGGATGAGACAACACAACGCACGGGATGAGACAACACAACACATGGGATGAGACAACACAACACACGAGATGAGACAACACAACACACGGAATGAGACAACACCACACACGGGATAACACAACACACGGGATGAAACAACACAACACACGGGATGAGGCAACACAACGCATGGGATAACACAACACACGGGATGAGACAACACAATACACAGTATGAGGCAACACAACACACGGGATGAGACAACACAATACACAGTATGAGGCAACACAACACATGGGATGACACAACACAACACATGGGATGACACAACACAACACATGGGATGAGACAACACAACACATGGGATAACACAACACAAGGGATGAGACAACACAACGCACGGGATGAGACAACACAACACATGGGATGAGACAACACAACACACGAGATGAGACAACACATCACAATGGATGAGAAAACACAACACATCGGATGAAATACCACAACACACGGGATAACACAACACACGGGATGAGACAACACAACACACGGAATGAGACAACACCACACACGGGATAACACAACACACGGGATGAGACAACACAACGCACGGGCTAAGGCAACACAACACACGGGATGAGACAACACAACAAATGAGATGACACAACACACGGGGTAACTCAATACAACACACGGGATGAGACAACACAAAACACGGGATGACACAACACACGGGATGACACAACACACGGGA